TTACAGCGGTTCTGTTATAGTAGGTAGGTACTTCATGTAAGGGGACTGATTTTTACAACAAAAAAAGTGAACGCCATTTTTTGACTGTTTCAGAAAAAAATTATAACAGCAGTACTGTGCAACAAAATTGCGAGCCCAAAAACTAGATAGATAACAATTATAAAGGATGTCAGAAATTTAATATGTTTGGCGAAAACTGTGCACATACGCCTGGAAAAAATCCTGAGAATCTTGTGGCCCAACACCCTTGTCATAAAGACAGCGAGGAAGTGGAGGTGGATTGGGCACATGCTTAAGGAAGAACCTAGTAACATCACCCGCATAACCCTACTCTGGACACCAGAAGGCAAGGGCAAGAGAGGCAGACAAAAAACACTGGGTGGTAAACAGTAGAGGATGCGATGAAGACTCTGAACCACACCTAGGGTAGGACTCAGAAGCTGGAGGACTTTTGTTGCTGCCTTTCATGCCAGCATGCGTAGCGGGCAGTAAACATACCTCCAAATGTTGTCCATAAACAAAGGGAGTACAAGGTCAGGGTCGTATTTGACTGCTTAGCAAGATTCAAGATTCATCCATTAGATGGACCTGACCTATATAACAATTGACAGGTAAGTACAACTTACAGATGTCTTTATGTTAAAACTTGCAATGTTGAAGTAGATGTTTCATCAGTTTAAAGTAAGTGTAGCCGACAAGTAATATTTGCGATTACATTGGTGGCCTAATAATGATGTTAAGTAACAGTTCAAGGAGAACAGGATAAAGGTGCATATGTTTGGGGCAAGGTCCTTGCTGGCTTGTGCTGGGTACAGCTTTTTACATACGGCTAATGAAGAGAAATAAGCATAGTCATCATCCATCATCTTAACAAATACATTGTAAATGATCACAAACTTCTTAAATCAGTACCAGATAAAGAGAACATGAGACATCATCTTGGTTCTATCATCACAAAGACTTCCCATGGACAGAGCCCTTGGTATGCTATGGTCTGTAGGGTTAGACTGCTTTGGTTTTCCTAACGTGCTAAAGGACCAGTCCTTAACTACAAGGAGGGTATTTGCGATGGTCTTTAGAGCAAAGAAAGTGTTACTGGCAACCTTTAGTAGAGATGTCGGCTGGTATGAACCTCGACCTAAAGAGATTTTGCCAAGGTGAGAATGATGGGAACGTGATCTTCTATGCCTGAAACATTTACAAATTCCAAGATGCTTTGAGGCAAAGACGATGAGCCACAAGAAGACCTATGAATTTCACATTTTTGCTGATGCAAGCACGTTTGGATGCATACAATGTTTCCACCTTACAGTGCAAAATTAAGACGAAAACATGCATACCTTATTAGTGATGGGAGTTCTGGTGTCGCTTCATTAAAGATAACTACTTTTGGCGGTTCACAGTTAACAAGGAAATAAGGTACTGAGGAGGTATACAGTGATATTGTCTCGCATGATTCCCCAAGCAGTACACATAGAGTATTTAGACGACTTGACAACCAATGCTTTCATCCGTGCCTTAAGATGCGTGACAGATCTAACCAACACTCAAAGCTTGTAGGAGAAAGAGACGAACTTGCAAATGCTATGCGGAAGTTGGCAATGACGGGATCTAATCATATTTGAGTACTAATTGCTGCAAATTCGTTCATGAATGTCCCTTATTTCAGTCGCTGGGGATGATTATGATAAAGACAATTTAAGATTACTAGATTCATTGTTCTTAATGATTACAAGGGAAGAGTCAACTTGTCCTCACTGCTCGCCTTCTGGCATGAAGTCGTTTCTATAATCAACAGTCTGCCGTTGACCAGTCAATACCTGAATGATCCAAAGAATGTAGAGGCTCTATCTAATTATCATGTTTTCTTCACGAAGAGGGACAGTCAGACACTTCCATTTCCAGGAAAGTTCGCCAAAGAAGTTTATGCCCAGAAACGATGGCGATAAATTCAGTTTCTGGCATAAACCTTTTAGAGTAGTTGGCGAACAGAGTACCTCATCAACTTGAATTTGAAACAAATGGTTTCAAGCCAATTGTTCAAGGAGACTTCCCACCAAACAAGTGTCCCCCTAGCAAGATTATGGAGACTTCAAAAAGGTCTCATTGCTTCCGCGAAGATAAAGCAGGGATCCAGAAACGCTCAGACGAAGGGAAACGACCATAAAAAACATGAAACAGTATTCTTTCTTTTGGAAGACAAACAGCTTTGTTTGATGATGTTGAGATGGAAACTATTCACTATTAGCTGCATGTTTAACTCCATTTATGTGGTTGTCTGAAAGCTTATGTGTTTTGATTGCCTTCACATGCGCACAAGTGTCATTTGTAGATCTCGCTAGAAAATTCTTCAATGTTACAAGGTAAAGTCATATGCAAAAGCGCTACGGAATCTAGTTGCTAAAACGTTTCAGTCCTTTCTGTTGCATTCGGTTTAAACCTTTTTTTGGCCAACTCAAATGGGCAGTAAGTGTTTCAAAGTTTTTCTTGCTTTAGCGATTGACACAGCAGAGGTTAATATTTTCATGCTACATTTGTTTATTTAATTCTATCTTCGTTAGATCAGTTTTATTGTTTATGTTTATGTATATTGAATTCAAGATCTAAAATTTTAGGCAAAGTTTATGTTACACACATCATCGTTTTAACATTATTTGTAGATCTTAAGTCTTAACCTTTCTGTCTTTTTACTATTAAAGCGTATAGTATCTATGTATGTAATTTCCGTAAATCACTTTCTTTTTTGTTATTGATTGGTACCTAATTCATTTTAGTTCTCTTGCTATTTCTTAGAAGTTTAAAAAGTTTTGAAAAGACATAAATATGGGAACATGCGGAACAATAGTAAGAACTTGATGTACCCATAGTAAAGTCAATTCAAGACCAAGGTCAAAAAGTGTGACTGAAAAGACATCCTCTGGCGCAAAGTAAATAGTGTTATTCCTGTGAACCTTGAGATTCTCGGTTATGCGCACTTGTTAGTTTTAGACAAGGAGGTTTATTTTTACTTAATCAGCGCCTTTTTGTTTTAGTGTTTTTGTGATATGATTTTATTTAAGAAACTAGTAAGCAAGAACAGGAAAGATATTCAAGTTATGCGTGACCTGGGGAAAACATACGAGGAATGCGAGAAACGACTCTCTGAACAAATGAAGTAGAAAACGTAGCACAAGGAACAGATACGGACTGAACCGCCTCAGGGAGTTAAGTTAGCGTTCAATGAGAACATTGCTAATGATAGTTTGCAGAATTGCAAGAACCGGCAGAAAGCGCTAACGTGTGAGTTCAGGTGACTACACCAATAAATCTACCGCTTTAAACAGCGTGTGTGCATAGTCTCCTTCAGTGAACTTTATTTATTCATCGACTCCAATTGTTTCCCAGACATCACTGTCTTACAAGCCTCCAATGTTGGAGCATCCCCTTCACTTTCAGCAGCTACCCTTGGATGCACAGATTAACACAGCCCAGACAATGTTGGGTCAACCCTCTGCCATACGTTTTCGATTGTCTTCAATGGGTTATATTTACCAGGAGCTCAAGCTCAAAATGCATTCCAGCCTGTATCATGTGGTAGCCAAGTACCCTTTTTGACCCCTGCTGTTAGTCAGCCATTAAGTTCCACCAGGTCAGTATTGACTCTAAAACAGCCCTGAAAATAGTGAGCATTGCCAGATTTTCTGTAATAAGAATATGAATTACTCATGTTTTGACTAAGCCAAAGCGTTACCAGATTACAAGTTGTTACGATTACGGGAGTACTCTCCGGGTGAAGCCCTTATAGTCATTAAAAGTCTGGGACACTCCTCAGCATCATAAGTCTCAACTAGAACGGAAGTATGGGGGAAAACGCAGAGCACTCACATTATGACTTGAAGAATTAGACGCCTTTTAGCAGATTCGAGAGGGAAATGAAAAAGGCCTTGAGGAGTGGTGAACCTAACAGATGTCAACTTTAGAAGCAGAACTTGAAATTGGGTCACGTTACTTTACCTGTCAATGCAAGTTCATCAAGAACCTTCTGGGTAAGTAGAAGCAAATAGGTCCGTGACAACTCCAGAACTGAGAATGTAAAGACATTAGATGGGTTATGGAAGAAGAATCAGAGTTTATGACCACAGCCTCAGAGACAATATCAGGCGTCCTCAGTGAATCCAGAAAAGAAAGAGCCTTCCTAGCTAAAGAAGAACCATGCCTTGTGGACCTGTGAGAAATTTAAGTTGTCAGCACTAGATAACAGTCGATGAACATAGCTGAAGAACTTAAACGGTTTTCAGATGTGGTATAAAGTGGTATCATTCTCATTATCACCAGATGCTTCTCAAAGATCCAAAGAAATAAGAGCAAGCTGAGGTAGTAAATGAAGCAGATTAGTCAAATGCAGCAAGGGTAGTGCCACTACAGAAGGGGATCTAAGTGAGAAAAACCACACAGCCATTACTGAAGCAGAACCTGTAGCCGTGGTAGAGGTTATAGCTCTTAGAACTGTCCCTGTCTTATGCGAAAACGAGGAATCAAAGTAAATGCTCTTCTTGACAATACCAGCAGTAGAACTTACTTAGACAGGTACATTGCAGCAGAACTCGGATTTGAGGGCAAACCGCACGAACGTACAGTTAATGTACTGGAGGACAATTATGTAAAGTTGGACAGCACAGTTGTTGAGTTCATGATTAGCAGTTCTGATGGAAAAGTTTCCAAAGTAGTCTCTGCCTATACAGCTGAGAGAGTCATAGGAAACATGCAATTAGTTGATTGGAGTAAACAAGCATAAGTGGGTGCACCTAAAGGGCCTCAAGTTCGCTCATGTAGGACTTAGATCCGTGGTGCCATACTATACCTGCTCATTGGTGTAGACCAAGCTTACTTAGTATACTTGTTGGAAGATGTGAGAGGACGACCTGGTGTACCCCTAGCTAGACCTTCTCCCTTGGGGTGGACCTGCATTGGTAACCTGGAGCTGGCCATAGAGAGATATCAGACCAATTTCATTCATTCCTGAGTGATACACATGAGTTACACAATCTTGTTCCTTTTTATTGGTACACATAAGAACCTAACGAGACTCTGATGGTCAATCCGCATGACAAGTTAGCAAGTTACACTCTTGCTAAGTCCTTGAAGTTCGTTGATGATCACTGTGTTGTTGGCATGCCTTGGAAAAGTGGCAGAACTTTATTACTTGACAATAACAGTATGGTGTTACAGCGTCCACGGAGTACTGAGGGAAAACTAAACAGCCCCCGAAACGTGGTGAAGCTTACAAAGAAGTATTGCAGACCTGCCAAGATAAAAGGGTACATCAGTTAAGTTCCACCTGGAGAAGCTAAGCCTGAACAAGCCTGGTACCTGCCCCACTTTCCATTGCTGAGGCCAGATAAAGCGACGAGCAAGTTTTAAACTCTTCTCCAAAGTGTAATGGGTTGTCCTTAAATGACATTGGGCTACAAGGGCCTAAGCTACAGAGCGACTTGTTCGTGGTGCTTCTCAGATTTCGCCATAAACCTGAGGCTTTGATGTGTGACATCAAAGAGGTGTAACTACAAATTAAATTGAAACCTGAAGATCAACCTATAAAGTAAAACATTTCTTGCGGCGGAACTTGGAGAGACAGGGAGCCTGATGTGTTTCAGATTGACCATGTTGTATTTGGAGTGAACTCGTCTACTTTTGAAGCTCAGTTTGTGGCTGAAGAAGATGCCAGGAGCCCTCAGTCAGACTTGCCCTTAGCAGGTGAGACAATTTTTAAGAGTAGGTACATGGATGACAGCGTGGATTGTGTACCTGATGTAAAGACGGGGGTGGAGTTGATTAGTCAGCTGTCACAGCTCTGGGGCTTTGCTGAAATAAATGTTAGAAAGTGGTTGTCAAATGAACCTGAAAGAATTTGTAATCTTTTTGTAATTTGTTTACCCACGAAGCAATTAGGAGTTCTTATGAACTTGTTTAAACATGTCTGTGTGTTCCAGATCGAATTAGAATTTGGAAGTGTTTGGTTTTGAGGAGAGGGGAAAATCGGAATGCACGGAGAAAAATCTCTCGTAGCAAGAGAGAGAACCAACAACAAACTCAACCCATATATGGCTTTGAAGCTGGGATTTGAACCTGGGTCATATTGGTGAAAGGTGAGTGCTCTCAACAACGAGGTCACCCTTCCTTGTTAAAGTGCATCACGAGGGAAGTTGATCTTGACCTTGGCGAACTACTGCCTGTTAAAACCTTAGGAGTCCTGTGGTGCCCCATGGAATTCATGTTTAATGTTCAAATTAATCAGCGTCCTTAGAAGCAAGATCACACAAAACGCATCTTCCTGAAGAAGTTAGCGACCCTGTTTGATCCTCTTGGCTTGTTAACTACGTACACTATGGGTGCAAAGATTCTTTTACAAGAGATGTGGGCAAGCAGCGTGGACTGGGATGAGCCTATAAAGGAGAACCTTTCACTTAGGGCTGCGAGGTGGTTTCAAGAGTTACCCACAGTGGTTAACATTCGTATTTCCTAATTCCTAAGGAGAACAGCCGCTGTCAAAAAAATGACCTTGCACACCTTTGTGGATGTCCCAATATTGTCTTATGTGATGAATGGCTTCGCAAAGTAGTATTTTTGCCATGCGAGACTTTATTCAATCATACTACCGCGCCACCACTGGGTTATGAGACTCATAATCAAGTATGTGTACGAGCAGGATCATCATGGTGGAACCAATCAGGTGCTAGCAGACCTTTCTGCTCATTATTGGATAATCTTGGCGAGGGAGGCAATTAAAGAATGGGAAAGAGATTGTATGCATTGCAAAAGAAGAAACGCCGCTCCAGCCAAAAACATAACGGCCCCTTTACCAGAACTGCAAATCCGGATATAGGTACAAGCTTTCAGCCACATATCTGCTGGATCCTTTATTACCAAACAAGGAAGATGAAAGACCCATCAGAAGAGATATCGTTGACTATTTACTTGCCTTACGACATGAGCTGTTCATCTCGATGTACCATTTAGCCTCAATACTGACTTATTTCTAAATGTATTCATCCCGAATGGTGTCCTGGCATGGTCTACCAAAAGACATTTTATGTGACAATGGAAGTAATTTGGTTGGTGGGAGTAATGAGTTGAAGGAATTGGAAGCCTTGGACCAAAAGAAGATTCGGAACTCTACAGCTTAGGAGTAACTTGGCACGTTAAACCTCCTCTTAACTCCTACTTTAGCAGCGTACATGGGATTGCGATCAAGGCTGCAAAGAAAGCTACTGTAAAATTCCGAACATGAACCAATCCAAGTATAAGCCCCTCCAAATATAAGGCCTCCAAACCAGTAATGCAAAAAAACAAAGCAAAAACGGTAAATTTTCTTCCAACTGTAAGGCTAGCCCAATCGATTTTGAAACGCAAACTTCCCTATTCTATTCCCTATAACTTATTCTATCCTTAGCTCTGCAGATACCACGGATGAGGAAATCCAGAGTGCAGTTGTAGGAGCAGAAGGGTTAATTAGGTAGGCCTACAAAGTACTAGTCAAGTGACCCAACGGATCTGACCCCTCTTACCCCTAATCATTTCTTGCAAGAACAGTTTGGAGGCAGATTTGCACCTAATGATGTTGACACTGGAACATTTAACCCAACAAAGAGATGGCGTCGTGTCCAAGAATTTGTTTTCTACTTCTGGCACAGATGGTTACATGAATGGATCCCCTGTTTAAGTGCAAGGAGCAAATGGCCTATGGATCAAGTAGACTTGAAGATCAGAGACAGTCATTGTCTCCGTTGGGAAGGATTGTGAAAGTGTACTCTGGAAAGGATAGCAAAGTGCGCGTACAGAAGGTTCAGGCTCCAGGACAAGAAATTTGCCAAAAGATGGGTGCGTTATGCATTAACAAGAACTCGGAACATCAACTGAAACAATCTGACGACTGTCATGCTATGTGACGTAAGTCGATCCATTATCTCAGGCCAATCAAGTGTCAGTAAGTCCATAAGAGTATCTTCACTAATCGAGCTAAGGAAAGCCGATGCTATTGCGGAGTTGGTTGCAAAGGAAGCTAAACTTAACGCTCCTCAATAAGAAGCAAAAAGGGAATTGCGAAGATCGAGGCACAACTCAGGGTGGAAACTATGAGGATCGAATAAGAAGTGACACAAGAAAACTTGAGAAAGAACAGATAGATGGAAGTGAAGAAGCAACGGCGAGGCTGAAGGTGTACCAAGTAGCTCGAAAATGAGAAGGATTCTGTAAGACAAGTTTAGCCAACCCTAGCATCCTTGCTTCTGCTACAGGTGCCTAGGCATGTAACATCGGATGTAACCGTTTGAAATTAAGCAACACAGCCCACTCAGCAGCTTCAGCACGTACATAAGCCCCCTAACAAAGGTTAACCAACTGTCTCGCTTAAAGGTGGGTGGGTGGGATACCCAGGGGCTTCCACTGTGGTCAGCCAGCCCCTAGATAGAATACTGCCCCCCATGACAGGCAAATCCCCGCAACCCAGCCATGAGACCCCATTCCAGCCACCCATCACAGAGATGAAACAGTGGAAGAAAGAAAAATAAGGGATGGGAGGGGGAAACATGCTAAATGGACCGCTCCACATACCACTGCACAAACGCTCAATGAAGAACTTGTAGCTAAGCTTGTTGACCACTTGACCGCAAAGCTTGTGAACCGCTTGATCACAAAACTTATGAACCGTTTGACCGCTAAGCTTGTGGACCGCTTGACCGCTAAGCTTATGAACTGCTTGACTGCTAAGCTTGTGGACCGCTTGACTGCTAAGCTCGTGGTGGTTAACTTAGTTAAAGTACGTTTAACCAAATTTAACCAACTGCCTCGCTTAAGTGGAAGGTGGGTGCCTGGGATACCCAGGGGCTTCCACTGTGGCTAGCCAACCCCTAGATGGAATACTGCCCCCATGGCTGGCAAACTCCCGCAACCCAGCCATGAGCCCCCATTCCAAGCCGAAGGGACTCTGACGAAAGCCAGATCGGAGCGGGAAAGGGGCTCAGGGCTGGGGGAAGCCCTGGCCCCGAACTACCAAAGTCCCGAAGCACCTTACAAAAACAACTGGGGAAAGAGAAAGATATGCAAGAAATGCCTGTCAAGTAAGAAGGCTTGCTACCCCTACAATAGTACTGATGGGAGTGTGAATATAGATGTGATACGCATCGATGAACCATGTGCCAAGTGTCTTGATGACGTGATCTGGCTGTCCTAATGCGGAAGCTATGACTGGTGTTGCAACCAGGGACCCCAGCAGCGGAAAGGATAGATTGAATACTGGATGTCAGCCATTGGCGATGAAGGGGGGTGCTTTCAGAGAGAAGGAAACGTGGGCCAGGAGTTGAGCCACGGACATGTAGATACTGGTTAAGGGCACGTAAAGGGCAGAGATCACGTTTTCTAGCACCAGTGTAGATATAGCAACCTTGGTGAAAGGGGTCCGTCTGAGAGCACTTTATATGAATCCTGAAGCTGCCTAGGTTGACTAGGGAATCTGCTTGGACATCGCTGACAGCAACTCACCAACGTGAAGAAACCAAAAAACCCGAGACAACAGGCAGCCCCAAGCATTGTATGGTTGTAGTCAGAGAAGTTCAAGGACTGGTAGATAATGTGCATCAGCTTGATTGTGATGGGATTATTTGAGCCTTGGCGGCGTTTGAGACCTCGCGCAACACATGCTGTAACTGAAGGCAACCAACCAGTGAAGAAGGCAGACCCTCCTCGATGTGAAGGGACCGGATTGCTGAAAGGTAAACCTTTATCGATGAATAGTAGAGAGTATCGGCAAGATGACAGCAGAAACGGATAAGCACGTCTTCATTGGTTGGAAGAGCTGATCCCAAAGGAGATGGGCTACTGTCCTGAGTACAGAAATCCAAGAAGCGGTGTTGGGCAAAAGCATAAACTCTCCTAGTAGAAGGGCCAAGACCCTGAGTGAAGTAGAAGTGGCATTTATCTGACAGCAAAGTTCCAAGTGTGAGAGAAGCTGCTTCGGAATCTGGTTCGGAATGAAGTGTGCATGAGGGGCTAGCCAACAAAAACACTGAAACTGAAAGCAAGACAGGGAGTCGGCGATCGGGTTAGACTTCTCTCTAACTGAGGAGGCAGTGAAAGAGATGGAGTGACGAGCTGCTAAAAGGAACAGATACCGAACCAAGGACATGATGGTAGGGCTCTTGAAGTGCCAGACAGCACAATTTTCACCAATGAGCAGTTATCTGATAGGAAGTTGACCCGTTTGGCGGCCCATAGGGGACCCCAGAGCTAAGCTACCACAACAATAAGAAAAAGTTCCTTGTATAGATAAAGATTGAAAAACCTGCGCAGCGTAGTATTAATGTTAATTTAAAAGTTGTAAAACTGACGCTGTTATTATAAGAATCTTAACCGACGTTTCGGCAATGCTGCAATGCTAAATACCGGTATTTAATCTGGTATACCCTGAAGAAGGCAGCATTGCCGAAACGTCAGTTAAGATTCTTATAATAACAGGGTTAGGTTTCCAATTTTTAAATTAACAAAAGTTCCTTCTACTCGGTTGACTGAGAGGCCTGTGTTGGGAGCCATGGGCCTGAACCCTGGGAGACTACTCCGTGACCAAGAGCCCCAGAGGCATCTGAAGAAACGTCGAAGTCGGGAAGTAGAGCCCACTGGGGGTACTGAAGGAAGCTGCATCCATTCTAAGACTGGAAATACTCTCGCCACCAGGCTAGGTCAACAAAGAACTCCTGATTGAGACGAATCAGGTGGTCATCGCGTCGAAAAGCGCAGAGCAATTTGATCATTTGGCACAAGAATGAGCGACCTTGGGGTACGACCTTCCAGGCATGCTGAAGGTGACCTATTAGAGAATCCACTTCCTTGCCTCTACACTAATGCTTCTGTGACCAATCCTCCAAGAAGGCAGTTATCCTTAACGGCTCTTCTACTTTGTCTGGATGGAGGGGGATGCCAAGCTTAGAAAAAGTCAATAGACCTGTCCAGATTGTGATGACAGACAGAGGAGCTGGGAGGGCCAAGAGTGTGGGAGTCACCAAAGTAATGCATCAGGAAGGTGACATCATAGTTTTGCTTGGCCACCCACTCCACTAAATCTGCTATAAATGTAAAGATATATGAAGCTGACCTGACACCAAAAGGTTGGACCATATCGACATAAAAGGCACCCTGCCATTTCATACCCAGCAACTGGCGATCTTCTGTATGGACTTGCACAATACGGTATGCATTTTGCACATCAATTTTCGCCGTAAGGGAACCCTGCCCCAGCTGCATTATGCCCACAATGTCGTCTACCTTCATTTATTGTAGAGGATAATCCTCGCCCGCAATCCTGTTGTTGACACTGGGCCAGCCGGGCTTGACAGGTCCAGGACAAGACGCTACTTCCCAGGTTTGGGGATGACACCAAAGCGACTCACATGGAAGACAGGGAGGGGAGGCTGAGGAAAGGGGCCCGCCACCTTGCCTGTCTGATCTTCTGATTGCAAGTAATTTTCGACGACCTGAGGGTCTAGGAGTGCAGAAGCCATATTCCCTGTTGCCGACTTCAAGGAAGTACTGTAATTGAAGCCTAGGTGAAAACCAGCGCGAAAGTCTGGACCACGTGTGCAACTTTGTCTGACGTCATGCTGGAATCTATCCACGTTAATGGGAGTAAGCTGAGAAACAGGTCTTAAAGGAAAGACGGCTGAAGAAGACAACAAATAACTGGAACTTGGCAGACCCTGCTGCTGGGAAGGTAAAACAAAAGGATAACTCAACTCTTATGCTGAAAAGTTACCATGAGAACCAACGAGAACAGAATCACAACTATGTACAGCTGAATTAGCTAGAAGTGCCCTAGTGATGGCGGTGACCCCCCCCCCCCTTTGACTGAGAACGGAGCGGGATTGTTCTCTCGGTGCAGAGCGGTGAGGACAGTGGATGTGTGTGTGGTCCCCGAGTTACTTTTCACGGGAGTGACGAAACTGGTAGCGGCCGAGGGCCAGAAACAGCACCCATCATTCCAGGAGTGGCAATACTGGCTAGACCGGGGATTGCCCAAAGACGCCAGAGGCTCTGTTAGTGACAAGGCAGGGGAAGTGCAGGAGCCTGAAGCAGCTGAAGTGGTAGCCAGAGATCTGTTGTGAAAATTGTAGAGGTCTCAGTTCATGTGAGACCAGTCGGTTGAACCCGAGGCTGCGGCTTCTTTTCTGAAGGCAATGTAGTGGAGCCTCAACTTGTCAGAAAAGCGCCTTGCTGTTTGAGTAATGAGTAACTTGTACTGGTTTAAATTTTTCCAGCGAGAGGGGGAGGTGTGGCAAAGAATCATAGAAAAGATTATGAAGGCCTTTATCCAGGTGATGATGTCGGTCGGATGTCGATGTCGATGACCCGTTTCTTGGACCCTGATACCGCCAGTTTTCCCTCCAAACACGCCTTGGGTTCGATTTCGTGAGCTCGAATATTGTCTGGAAATAGGTCAGCCAAGTCTACAAACAGCCCTGCTGTAATTTTGGAAACAATCTTATATGGGACTGGAGCATAGCCAGGACCCACCACAAATGCTCTGTTGAGGTTTGGAAACGTGGAGGACTCAGATCCAGTCATGCCACCACAAGAGCCCCTACCCAAACTACAGGCAAGTTGGTGGAGGACATGGCGGGAAGAGTAGAGACAACCGCAGGACCTCCAAATGAGCTATAAGTTGAAATAAACGCAAGAACAGCAAGCGTACCTTTAGCGCAGGGTGTACCTGAGCTCGTGGATGCCAGAGACGGCATTGAATTTGAAGCCGAGGAGAGAGGACCAAATGTTGTGGGCATGTTTGTGTTCCCACCACTTGAATCTCGAGGGAAAGGTAGCAACGGAGGTAGCGATTCTGCAAGAGCTCTGGAAATTGCCTGTGCTAAAGAGTTGTTGTCCGGCAGAGAAACAGGTTGACTTGGTGGTGAAGCGGGAGTGTTAACTGGGGGAGCTGGTGTAGAACCGCTACGAGAACTCAAAGACGCGGTAGCCGGAGAAGACATCGTAGACAAACTGTTGTTTGTGGTTTGCCTCCTGAAAGAACATGATGACACGCACGCCTTAAAAAATTGGAAAAAAAAGGATACAGGAAAAAGCACGCTGTAGGACTGCTGCTACAAACCACGCTGAAAAAGACGCTAAATGAACCTCTCCACAGACCACTGCACAAACACACAACGAAGAACTCGCAGATCCTAGCAGTGTATAAAGCTACCACATACCATGTCAGCCTGCACTTATGAGATTGACCACTGGATGCCCGCTAAGCTCGTGAGCCGCTTGACGGCTAAGCTTATGAACTGCTTGACTGCTAAGTTTATGGACCTGTTGACCGCTAAGCTTGTGACTGCTTGACCGCTAACTTGGTGGACCGCTTGACCGCTAAACCCATGGTGGTTAACTTATTTAAATTACATTTAACCAAATTAAAAATATCTTACAAGATCGATCTGATCTTCAAAATTCATCATCAAGGACTGATAAGACCACTTTCTCTGCACTATAGTGGATATATTCAGCTTACCTGTCTATTATTCAGATTGGAAGTTGTCTTTAAATGGTCTTATACCCCACAAAAAACTTACCATTTAGCGACTGATATGCGAGTGGATTTGTTAAGCAAACTGTAAGTGTACATTTCCTGTAAAATTCATCAAAAGCTTACAAACAAGTGTAGAGATCTTCACAAGAGATTTGGTCCCCTATTCATAGTAAGTGAGGTGTACAGTGACAAGCTGCAAGGATGGCCGAAGATCGTTGCTAAGGACCAATATCAGAAGAGGTATAGTATTAAAACCGATTTCTGGTGGAGTATCGTAGGTGGTAGCCTCATCAAAAGTGGAAGGTCGAGTTGGCAAAGGTTTGCTGTAAGGGAGCTAACTGCTGTAACAATAAATAAGAAAAGAGTATTTCATCGTACAAGTACTCGAATTAAACTTAAAGAAGACTTCTCATGAAGACTTGCATTTCCTTAGATTATGGAAGAAACAATTAGGAAGACCGAAAAACAGAGAATGGAGTGCCAGTGCCGTTTAAGGAGTAGCCTAAGTTGCTCGAAAATCTCGTTCTGGCAATAACTAGTCTTGAAGATCTCAAGCGAAGATTCCTGAAGCGTTCTAAATACAAAGAACACTATATCAAATTTATGGACGAATTACTAAGAAAAGGAGATGCCGAAGAACAAGGTCAGAGTCTTATTTGACTTAGAGTTAGTTAGTGCTTAGCACGATTCAAGAGAACTTCCTTGAATTATCATCTACTCAGGGGACCTGACCTAACAAGTGATTGGCAGACTCAAAAAGTAATTAGCTTTAAGCTGTTACTTTCAGTGTGGAGAATGTGTTTCACCAGTTTATTGTAAGCGAAACAAACCAAGACTCTTCGGAATTGTTTTGGTGGCCTAATGGTGATGTCAAGCAAGAGCTCAAAGAGTACAGAATGAAAATGCATTTGTTTGGCGTAACGTCTTTGCATGGATCCGCCAGCTCTGGCTTAAAATACATAGGTAGTCAAGAGAAAGAAGTGCACCCGTCAGCCTTCATTTTCACAAAGTTATTACAAATGATCACGAAATACTCAAATCAGTCCAGGAAGTGAGAGAGCAATGTACACCACTCTGGAACTGCCGTCAGAAAAATGTCCCATAGAAGGAGTCCTTTGTTTTCAATGGTCAGAGGGGTTGGACAGCCAAGGTTTCTCTGTCGTCGCAAAGGACCAGCCCTTAACTAGAAAAGGAGTATTAAAATTATCTGGTATGTAGTATTAGTATTAGAGAGTGTTAGCATTGACAACGAGAACGAGTCCATCTCGTACTCGTACTCGTTGTCGTTCTTGTAAAAAATGTGTAAGCAGGACATACAAGTACGACTTCACGAAAAAAATATTTTGGGATAGTATTGTCATTTTAGGCGCCATTTTCAAATGATTTGCTAGCTCTTGCGTCCTGTGAGTTCAGTGCTGTTGCAAAGTTTTTCTCGGTAAATGCTGGTATGACTC